CACTCTCTGTGCCCTTAACTGAAGGTGTGGGGGTCTGTATATAATGGTTATGGTGGTTACGATTACTTGAACTGAAATCCAAACCTCAGTTAAGGGACATGAGGTGAGCGTAGATGAAGAAGTGAGTCTTGGGCTTGGCGAATGGTACACTTCTTGTTTCACGAAGGCCACATACACACGGCAAAGCTTAGGGTTATGTCGGATGCATTGATCTAGTTAACATTCCTCACGCGTACAGAACTGCAACGTTTTGAGTCACGCATCTGCAAACATGAAACGAGCAGTTTGTGAATACAGTTGTAGATGTAGCTGTCATATCTTATAACCAAACTCTGTAGAGAACAGGAATTCAACTGCATGTGTATCACGGTATCAGTATTATAAAATAAAAAAAAGATCAAATTTTGTTATTTACTAGTTACTATTTTTTTAATCTGTCTATAATTAGTTATTAGTTCATTTTGTTAATACATAAATAACTTAAATGAATGTTTTTTCACTCATTTCATTTAAATAGAGATTCGACAGTATGAAGATTTCATATCACAGTTATCAGTATTATCAAGGTATTGTTAAAATGAGCTGGAAAGTGCTGATACCCAGAGCTGAAATCATTTCGCCACATTTTATATTGAAATACAACAAATAATAAATAAAATTAGCAGCACAATGTGCTTTTTTGTTCGCATAAACATTAAAATAGTAATATTGACAGCAACAACAGCCATATTTGAGGTGAACAAAATACGTATAGCGTTTATCTACGACATGTTCAAATTAAATTAGACAATGATGAACTGCACATTTCAGCCTTTAAACCGTTCGTTAAGAAAAGGGAGTCAAAATGATTATAGGTATTTTATCTGCTCTGTATATAATTCTAGATACCTTGTTATATGAATTTAGATTGTACAATGCAGATTTTTTTTCCATCAACTCGTTAAAATTGACATCCCTTTGCTTAAAGGGATAGTTCAGTTGGAAATTAATTTGATATGTTTTAGCTTACCTCAAGGGCATCCAAGATGTAGGTGTCTTTGTTTCCGCAGTAGTTTCAATTTTGGTATTTTTAGGTCAAACCGTTCTTGTCTGTCAGTCATATAATGCAAGTCTATGGTCACCACCTCAAAGAGCATGCACAGAGAAGTCCAAATTAAACAAGATTTAATGACTCGTAAATGTAAGCACACATTGATGGCCTAAGACACGAAACGAGCGGTTTGTGTGAGAAAACGAACAGTATTTATATCGTTTTTACCTCTTGTAACCACAGCCACATGGTGGTGACCATTCTTTAAGGTGGTGACCATAGACCTGCATTATATGACTGATAGACACAAACGGTTTGACCCAAAAATATCAAAATTGAAACTACTGTGGAAACAAAGACACCTACATCTTGGATGCCCTTGAGTCAAGTCAAATATATTATATAACGCTTTTCACAATACAGATCAAAGCTGCTTCACAATATCAATCAAGTAAACTTAACAGTGTTTGTTTATTCATGGAAAAAAAAGACAATCAAGTTTGGTAGAGCTGATCAAAGCTAAAAGCTAAGCTAAAACATACCAAATATTATTTCAAAGTGAACTATCCCTTTAAGGCCCTGTCCCAATACTCACTTGAGCCCTAAGGCCTTCCTCGAAGTGGACACTTGTTGAAAGTGCACTTAGCGGAGAAAGAGCGCAAGGGCCCGAAGCTGTGAAGAGCAGAATTGGGACAGTTTTGCACACCTCAAAAAGCTACTTTTTTTTTTTTTTAACTCTTAGCCAGCAACCTTTCTGTTAATGCTATTAATATTAAAACAGTTTTTGGCTAAGATAAAATGTGATTGAGGTTTACCTGAGTTTATACTGCCTTACCATATTCACAGAGATTCGAAATGCAATGTTAATTGTTATTATGGAAATTGATATATGAAATTCCCATACATGAAAAAAAAAAAGAGAAAAAAAAAACATGACGTGTTGGTGATATATTTTGTATAGGCTATAGATTAAAATAGTCTAACATATAGGCTGTATAAAATAAAATGACACAACCTTGTCTCTTTTTATTTTATTGACCAAGAATAGCCATTATTAAAGTATAAGCTTAAAAAGTATAAGTAGTATAAGTATAAGAAGCTATATACAGTAAGTCAACAAATAAGGCAAGAAGTTAAACATACGTTTCAACGTTACAGTTAAATAGCCTAAATATATAGTTATGAAACTTCACTTTTCCCCTCAGCCAAAACGATTTTCCAGGGAACAAATCATAGAATAATGAGACCAAAGATCGCCCGTCTGATGTACACAAGCCGATTTATAGCTCATGTTTAACCACTAGACACAGAGCCCGCGGGAAACGCAAGAATGACTAGCCGGGGCAAGGCTGTTGCAGGCGGGGTACATGAGCGCTGAGCACCCGCCGCCCTGTGACTACCTGGAACTCCGAACGTCAGATCAATTTTTTAAAATAGGCGCTATTTTTATAAATAAACCACAGATTTGAGCTTTAAACAACTATATTCTCGACTGAAAAACTCTTAAAACTACATTTCGTGACCCAATAACACAAATATTTTTGAAAAATTCTTCACCACACCGGCATCGTTTATCTTCGGAGTTTCCGCTCCCGAACAGCACCATAGCAACCGTTCTCCCCTACAAGGATTCTGGGTAATATCCCACAGCAAAGTGAGGTCTGATGCGCACTTACGAAAAGGGTGCATTAAGTGCCCTTTTGATCACCCCTGGAGAACACTATTAGAGGATTGGGACACCCTACGGTCTTGCACCCCTTAGCGAGAACGCGCATTGAGGGGCACAAGGGCGCAAGTGCGGATATTGGGACAGGGCCTAAAAATGCAGCCCAATTTCCAGGAGCAGAATAAAAACTGCCCACTCTCTGACAGTAGGTGGCGCTTGTTGAACAGCAGAAATAGAGCAGTGTCTCTGTACACTTATACACTACTTTTTTAGGCAGTACACAGACATATAAGATGAAGACAGTCAGATGCATTCATGCGTTTCATCCATTCTTATAATCACTCAGCACTCGACTATAACGATTGTAATTGTTTGTAGAGGTTGTGAAACTTCAATATGAACTTCAATATAAACTAAAATATGAAGTGGTAACGCTAACCGCCAGGGAAACCCGTAACCGTTTTTTCCACTTATATCAACTATAGCTCTAGTGTGTATGTGGCCAAAGAGGGGTTTTTGAAACCTTTGTTGTGGATGTGTGTGTGTGTGATTAGTGAACGCCGGAGCCGAGGTCAGCTCTGTCCCTGTGGCACTTCTGATGGAAACTCTGGAGGTCATCAGAAGCAATCCTAATGAACTCCTGCTCAAAGCTGCCGCCATCACTAACATGATAACATGATTTCGTTTAGAGGATTAGTTCACACGAAACCAGGACGAATCTGTCATGATTTACTCACTCTCACTCAAACCTGCTTTTTTTTTTTCTTATCTGAAACACAAAAGGAGATATTTACTAATTTGTTCATGCTGCTCTTTTCCATACTAAGAAATTGAATGGAAACAAATGCTGTTGAACCACAAATTAATCAGAGATGCAAGATAATGGTTAAACTAATCATAATTATTGTGCTAACATTATAATCACGATTGTTCTCGTTTGAAAAATTTCTTTTTTGACATTTGATCAGATTTATTGCTCTTTGGCGTAAATTGTAAGACAATTTAGATTTACATGAACGTTACTTTTTAAGTTGATGTGATCATTTTTAAAATAAAAACAAGTCTATTTTTCGATGACAGTCAGCGCTAGCCATTGAAGTAACACTTCATGTAACTGAGAGAGGTTACTGTAGATTATTCATTAATTGTTCGATTAATCATGAAAAATATATATATAGATTAATCAATTTTTTTTAAAAGCCTTATGATCTACTTTTATAATTGTTATTATTTGTAGCTAAACAGCATTGGTCCACATTCACTTTTTCGCTGAATGAAAAAGAGCTTAAAGGAGTAGTTCACTTTTAAAAAGCATTTGCTGATAATTTACTCACCCCCATGTCATCCAAGATGTCCACGTCTTTCTTTCTTCAGTTGAAAAGAAATTAAGGTTTTTGATGAAAACATCAAAACATATAATGGATTTCAATGGGGTCCAAACGGTTCAAGGTCCAAAAGAGAGTTTCAATACAAACTGTTCAAAGGGCTTTAACGATTTCAGACAACGAATAAGGGTCTTATCTAGCGAAGCGATCGGTCATTTCAAAAATAAATGACAAAGTTTAAGTTTTATAAGCACAAATGCTCGCGTTGCTCTTTTCTGTGATCATCAAAATGAACAAATCTTTTTTCGAGTCATTTGGTTCATTCAACAAACGAAATGACTTGAAAAAAATTCATTTTCGTTCATTTTGATGAACGAGCTTGAACAGGAGAGTCACGAATGCGCATCACAGAACAGAGCAAGGTGAGCATTTATGCTTATAAAACTTAATGCACTGAAACTCTAATTTGGACCTTGAACCGTTTGGTTCCCATTGAAGTCCATTATATGGAGAAAAATCCTGGAATGTATTCATCAAAAACCTTAATTTCTTTTCGACTGAAGAAAGAAAGACGTGGACATCTTGGATGACATGGGGGTGAGTAAATTATCAGCAAAAGTTGTTTTAAAAAAAACTGAACTACTACTTTAAGTGATTAAATGACAATTTTTTCATTGCGTGCCAACTATCCCTTCAAGAATAATGAAATAATCAAACTCACTTAGTGGAGTAATAATACTAGACCTGTAACAGCACCAATAACATCAACTTTAAACTTCACACGTGGTGAATCTGACTCCTGATTGGTGATCTCCCCTTCTTATCCTCTCCATACTTCACAACTCTGTCATTCACAACTCAATCCCCTAAACCAGATCCGCCCTGACACACACTCACAGGACATTGTGTCTCAGTTCATTTGTAACACTCTCCTGCCTTTTCCTCCCACCAACATCCCCTTACCAACCCTCCATTCCAGGACAGAAAGTTCTTCAAGGGCTTCTTTGCAAAAGTAAGTTCTGATGTGTGCATTTATGTACAGTCCCAAATATACTCTATGCAAGTATACGATTTCATATGTTGTTGCGAAATTTCCAACACAGTCTCATGAAGATGCGTATCTATACCACGAGTGTCATTTCATTTCAAGTGTTTCTTTCGTGTATATGGTACGCACTAAAAAACCCTGGGTTAGGTTTAGGGGGGAGGGGGGTGGGGAGTTCGTGCATATTATACGCAAAAAAGTGCGTATCATATGTACGCGAAAATCGCGTGCCAAATACACGTAAAAACTGTTTTTGGCGTATAAATGCCACGAGAAATGACATTCGTGCCATAGATACGAACTTTCATGAGATCGGGCTGAAATTTCAGAATTTACCGCAATATATCAAGAGCTTGAAGCAGATATGAGGGAGAAACACCCAGAAACACCTCATATGTGCCACTCACAAGGGGGTTTCCTTACCAATAAACTTGTACAATACGCATATTATTAAAAAATAATGGCTATTTACGTAAACCTACCAACATCCGTAGCCATGATTTTTGGAATGATGCTTTAAGGCCCGTACACATCGGGACGAATATCAGCGCGCGTTATTCGTCAGCGTTTTTCAACGTGTTTTTTATGTTCACACCAAAGCGATTCTCGTTGACGATGAGCCGAGTGAACATGCAAATTCATTCCCTGACATTAGGTGGCGCCAATTTGCTCTGCAATACCACTTCATAACAGTTATCCTTTATCAAGATGTTTGTAGTTGCTGTCGCGTTTGTCATATAGTTCTTTCACCATGTCCACACTAATACGTTTTCGTTTGAAAACGTATATTTTTCTCTCCGTTTTGGCCTTCCGTCCACACTGAGACGCCGTTTTAAGTCAACAAAAACGTATCGTTTGGAAAACGCTCTCCAAAGTGGATAAATTTGAAAACGCCATTTTCGCGTTGTAGTGTGGACAGTGAAACCGGAGGTATTTCAAAACGATGACGTAAGTTTAGTCATGTGATCCATGTAGTACCAATAGATATTCATGTTTTTCGGTATTGTGCCTGTTATGGGTTATTCATTTTTACACTATTGCTAAAATATGTTACTTTCTATTTTACTTAATATGTGCTATTCTTCATAGCACAGTACTGCAAAGATGACAGATAATGTACTTACTTTTGCTGTCCTGCGGCAAAACAGACCTGCTGTCCTTGCTTTTAGACCAAACATATGGTGACTGAATGCGACCTGGACGCATCCGTGATGGTGAGATATTTTGCCAAATAAAATTATCCTGTTATTGTGCGATTATTATTATTTATTTTCCCATCTGTATCATCTCAGTGAGCTTTTGTGAAGTTTCACGCATGAGCAGTAAAGTGAATTTAGAAGTTTCTCATCCATAAACACTGAAACGTCGGAAAACGCTAGTGTGGACAGAGAGCGTTTTTAAACGAAAACCCAGTTTTCAAATCTATCCGGATTAATGTGGACGTAGCCTTTATGTTCTAGCACCAATGAGAACAGCAGCTCTACATTCATCTTGCCTCGCATCTTCCTCGTCTTATTTCTTCCTGGCTGTGCAGACGGCGACGCTACTTGGCATCTTGGCGTATATATCTTCTTCGCCGTTGCCTATGTGTGCTCGGCAAGACTGTTTTGTATTTGAGCACCCCCAAGTTGAATTTTACTGTAACTTCAGAACCTCCAAACACGTGAGCAAAAGTGCCAATCTCATTGGTCGGATAGTTTTTGACGCAGCGCGTCAAACTAAAAAAACGAACCCGAGGCGTTTTTTTTTTTAAATTGATGCTTTTACGCGTGGCGTTTTACACGCCGGTGTGCACACTCACATTGGCGCCCATTGTTTAGTCACGAGGCGTTAAACGTCAGCGAATAACTCGAGCGAAATTCGTCCCGGTGTGAACAGGCCTTTAGTCGCATAACATCGATTAATGGAAACGCCGTCATTTCGCAATTGGTTTTTAACGACGTTTTTAAAATATCGTAAAAGTTTTGCGCAAATCTGTCTACTGTTGAATTGAACGAATACCCGCGAGGTCCACAGAGCAACAACGAGTGTCGATTAATCATTAAAATAGAGTATTTCTGACGACTTTTACCCGCGAGTACTGAGGTCTTTTACCGCCACAGCAACGATTGCAGTGCCTTGCTCAAGCATTCAGTGTTTACTTGCATAGAGTATGTTTGTGGCTCAAACACGTGTGAATGTGTGTCCACTTTTTTTCCCCACTGATAGATTAGTTTGCTCCTAAAACATGCCCGGAGCAATAGAAGAGTGTGTGCAAACTGAGTCACAAAACTCATTTTGTTTCCTTTCCTGTCACGAAAATATGTGTGTGTGTGTGTGTGTGTGAGAGAGCTAATTTCTGCACTTAGGTAAGTGTGAACACAGCTCCCCGAATCAGGGCGTGTGTTTGTTTGAATGCTCACCCTCTGTTCTTCCTCTTCCAACATGCCTGCTTCTTCTACCGCTGCTGTGACCTTCTCTGAACTCAATGTTTTGAACTTTTCTCTATTTTCAGGTGTTGTTGGTAGATTTGTGTGAAAGTGGAGGAGGGTGAAGGGCCTCAACAAGGGGAACTTGTGGGAAAATCAACTCTCTTCTCTTTGAAAGTCTCTGTTTTCCCTCCATCCCTCATTGTTTGTGTGTTATGTGTGTCCACACAGGCGGGTAAGAAGGCCGTGCGCGCGGTGCTCTGGGTGTCTGCAGATGGCCTGAGGGTCGTAGATGACAAGACAAAGGTACTGAAGGACTCCAATCTGACCTGAGATGATCCATTAGATCCCACATATAAATACAGTCCAGATGCTCATAATGAATGGCACTTGCTCACTGCCCTCTCCCATTTCAAGGAAATCATCCAAACTGGTTTTGTGAATCAGACCAGCCGATTAAATGAAAAGATGCAATTTTTCATGAACTCGTGTCAACTTAACAATGAGAGCTAGTGCACATCAGGATTAGTATAGTCAACTAAAACTTAAACTATACTTTTTTTTTTATTCACAATAATATATTTATGCAAATAATAGTTTCAGGTAGTACATTTCTCATTGTCATTTAGTTTAACTTGATAAAATAATTAAAAGTGAAAAAAAAATTAAATGTTTTATTTAAAAAAAATGAAATAAAAAACAACGAAATGACAAACTTTTGACTAAAACTTTTAACTAAAATTGAAATGAAAACTGAAATACAAAAAATAGAAAATATAGTGTATATATATATATATATATATATATATACTATATTTTCTATTTTTTGTATTTCAGCTTTCATTTCAATTTTAGTTAAAAGTTTTATATATATAATATATATAAAGTCCAAAAGAATCAAGAAAATCTAAAAAATCAAGAAAATCAAGTTTTTAATGTTTATATGTGTATGTGGTGTTTTTAATATGCTTTAACACACACCATGTGTAAATTCATAAGTCGACAGCATTGCTGAGTATTTTCTTTATAAAACTGCACCAAAGATGGTCTCAAAAACATGGTGTGAAACCGCTGGTGTTTCTGACGTCACCAACTACCTTGTAACCAATCAGATCAACGTGTGATCGTCAACAAGTGGATCTCAGGGTTGAATGAGTGAGTGGAGGCGGGGCTCATTTGCATATTCATAGAACCGAGTGTACAAAATGAGGCAAGGGTGTCGAGTTACATTCAAAATATTTTAAGGCATGAAGTTCTTTTTTTTTCCAATGAAAAACATTTAAATATGTTATTTTGTTGATCAGATGAATTTAAAGGTAAAACATGATTGACTACAGAAGGGCTTTAAATAAACTGACCAGTAGTTATACTTTGTATAATCCTCTTGCATCCTTTAATTATTTGATCCCAGTCATTGAAAATGCACAGTAAAGGGCATCTCTTCAAAATGTATTTGTGTGTGTGTGTGTGTGTGTGTGTGTGTGTGTGTTAGATGTAAGAGGTTTGGGTCAACATGAGGATAGGTGAATGAAGCAGTTGTCCTATATTCATGCACACTTATCATATTCATCTTTCCCTGCCCCCTGCTGGTGTGAGCCAGTCATTGCTCATCACTTCACGGATTTCAGTCTGGCAAAGCACAAAAGTCCATATCGCTGCATATAAAACCATCTCAAGTGAATAACCACAGTTCAGTTTGTTTGTATGTGATGTTTATGCATTATAATATTAATACTACAGCAGACCTCAAGCAGTAATAATGAAAATGCTAGCACTGATCACAGCATAGATTTAATGAAGAAATTAAAGACACTAACTGACTTTTAAAATGTACAATCTTTTACTGATGGAGATGTCTACAAAAGCTGGAGCTCCTAAAACTATTATTGTTTATGAATCTGTTGTCAACAAATGAGAAGCTCTCCCAACTATTTCACAATACAGTAGTAAGGAGTTTTACAATTGAATAACTTAAATCCACATTTAACGCATGTTTTCCCTCTTCTTTCCCCCCTGATGAGTTTGAATCCTTGATTACAGTATGACTGATGAACACTGAGGCTCTTTTCACCTGTAGATCGTTTGCTTTGTTCAGAAAAAGGGGCTTCATTTTTATTGATTACAAGGCATTGCATGGATTTGCTCCAGACTATCTTTCAAAAATGCTTATAGTTATGAACCTGTAATCCTCAGATCCTTTTAAATGGATAGTTCACTTTGAAATACATTTTTGGTATGTTTTAGCTTACCTCAAGGGCATCCAAGATGTAGGTGTCTTTGTTTCCTCAGTAGTTTCAATTTTGATATTTTTAGGTCAAACCGTTCTTGTCTGTCAGTCATATAATGGAGGTCTATGGTCACCACCTCAAAGAGCATGCACAGAGAAGTCCAAATTAAACCTGATTTAATAAAATAACTCGTAAATGTAAGTACACATTGATGGCCTAAGACACGAAACGAGCGGTTTGTGTGAGAAAACGAACAGTATTTATATTGTTTTTACCTCTTGTAACCACAGCCACAAAGCGCCCGTGCCTGCGCCCTCAGATCACTTGGACATGGCTGTGGTTACAAGAGGTAAAAACAATATAAATACTGTTCGTTTTCTCACACAAACCGTTCGTTTCGTGTCTTAGGCCATCAATGTGTTCTTACATTTACGAGTCATTAAATCATGTTTAATTTGGACTTCTCTGTGCATGCTCTTTGAGGTGGTGACCATAGACCTGCATTATATGACTGACAGACAAGAACGGTTTGACCTAAAAATATCAAAATTGAAACTACTGCGGAAACAAAGACACCTACATCTTGGATGCCCTTGAGGTAAGCTAAAACATACCAAAAATTAATTCAAAGTGAATTATCCCTTTAATAATACCACAAAGTAAGAGTGAAAGATTGGGTGATGCTGCTTTTATCCGCTGTTCTCCTCGCGTCTGGAAAGAGGAAGTGCAACGTGCTAAAAATAGTAATAGTTTAAGTCTAAATTAAAAGATATTTTTTAGTCTGGCCTTTCTTCATTTTTAGATATTTTATTTCTTTATAGTTAATCCTTATAAACTTTATTCTTATTCTTGTATTTTAATGGGTCTACTATCCATTGTATCTATTGTTTGTTTGTTTTTTTTCCTGTAAACCACTTGGAACTTTATTCATTTGTTCGGAAAAGTACTATATAAATACATTAGCTTGCTTAATGTGTTACAATGTTGCATTTTCTTCTTGGTTCTGGTTAGTTTTTCACAAGACAACATTTCAAAGCATACCAAAATGTGTTGACAGGTCACATGTGCGTAAAACGCCCTCTTATTGGTCAGAGATTCGTCTGCGTCATCCGTCAAGATGGATTGAGGTTTTTTTTGTTCCACTGGCGTATTGTGGCTTCATCTGTAGCTGTCGTGACAAAACATTGTGCATTTGTGAGATAAAGAAAACAAACAGGACGCCACTGGTTTCCTTTCCGGGAAGTTTGTGGAGCGCGTCACAGAAATGTAACGAAACTCAGCGTATAGGATACAAGCAAACTCTAGCTCTGAAACTAATGTGTGGGCTTAGAATCGATGCATTATTACAAATAAATAGATTGAGATTCACAAAAATGTATCAAATTCATAAATAAATAGATTAAGATCCACAAATAAATGTAAAGAGTTTCACAAAAATGCATAAAACTCACAAAAATAAATAAAGGTTTGCAAGATTTGTAATATTACTGCTGGGCAACGAGTAATCTCATACAAAATATAAGTTAGTTTACAAAATATATGTGTGTGTGCTGTGTATAATTATTTTGTATATATAAATACAAACACATGCATATATATATACACACACATAAGAAAAATGTGTTTATTTTTTTTATTTGTTTAAAATGTATATATTTAATGATACAAATATTTATACTGTATATACATGCAAATATTTATTAAAAAAATTACATGCATATGTGTGTATTTATATATACAAAATAATGATACACAGTTAGGGTTGGGTATCGAGAATCGAGTATCGATTGGAACCGAGACTAACTTTTAGTTTTTCCCGGAATCGTTCAAAAGTTAAAATTTCGATTCCTAGTTTCGATATTCACAGTCCGCCGAGCGGAAGAAGAATCCGCTAAACAACACCAACGAAGAAGCGTCTACCGGAAGTGTTGGCATAACCACGCGAGTCGAACATTAGTACCTTACGTCGGCGATCCAAAGTGTGGCTTCACTTTTCTAAAAATAACGAAATCTCGGCAAAATGCAAAATTTGTGACAAAAGGAGTATTTTTACAGAAGGAGTATTTCCTTCAGAAAGGATTATTTCCTTCAGAAAGCCCGTTGGTTAGCAAGGTTAGCTAAACTTTTTTGACCCTGCCTCTTAAAAGAATCAGAATCGAGAATCGTTAGGAACCGGAATCGAAACAAGGAATCGGAATCGGAATCGGAATCAGAATCGTTCAAATTCAAACGATACCCAACCCTATACACAGTGCACACACATATGTTACATATGTAAACACAAACTTTTATTTTGGACGCGATTAATCGTTGCCCAGCACTCATAAAAATATATATTTACAAATGTGTTTTTTATGTCACAAACACAACCCTGCCTGGTATTTGTTTGTGAAACACTTCAATTAATTCAAATCCAGCAATTAACCCCATCGAAAACACCCTGTTCTTTTGTGGAAATAAACACTTTGCCATTCTGCCTGTTTTGTTGTCAGGATCTGATCCTGGACCAGACGATAGAGAAGGTTTCCTTCTGTGCGCCGGACCGTAACTTTGAGCACGCCTTCTCCTACATCTGCAGAGACGGGACCACACGCCGCTGGATCTGCCACTGTTTCATGGCCGTCAAAGACTCGGTGAGCGCTCTCATGCCCGTCACACACACTCATGGCCTTACATTTTATTAACTGCCTCTTCATATAAAATTGTGTCTGGAAAGCTAAGGACGAGAGCTTACAAATCTACATCTTATCAAGTTGCTAGAAAACATTGAATATGTTGTTAATTGCACATAAAATGGACCATGGCAGTATGAACTGTGTTGTCATTCGATTTTGTGTCTAATATCATGAAAAGTACAAATAACCTGAAATTAAATGTAAATACTAAATATTTAAATAGTCACAATTACAAGAATAAACACCAAATCCATTGGAGTGACCACAATATACAGTAGAATACAGCATTAAATCTGCAATAATATGATCAGACAGAAGAAGAGCTCTTATTATGTCATTTATCTCACATACAGTCTCTTCTGCATTATTTGACCAAAAATACAGTAAAAACAGCAACATTGTGAAATATTATTACAATTTAAAATAGATATTTTCTGAATAAAATGTATTTTATCCCTGTGATGCAGTTTCTTACCACTATCCTTGTTATCATTTCTTATTATTTTCGGTTGTGCTGCTTAATATTGTGAGGTAAACTGTGATAAATTAGTATAAGTTATAAAGAGCAGCATTTGTTTGAAATAGAAATCATTTGAAACATTTTAAATGTCTTTACTGTCACTTTTGGTCAATGAAATGATCCCTCAGAAATCATTCCAGTATGCTGATCTGACGCTTAAAAAACACTCGTTATTATTATCAATGTTGAAAACCTTCGTGGACTATTTTTTCCCAGCATTCCTTGATGAATAGAAAGTTCTATTTCGTTTATTTGGAATAGTATCTTTTGTTAACATTAATAAAGCTCTAAACTAGAGCCCGACCGATAAAGGATTTTGAAGGCCGATACCGATACAAATATTTTTGGGTTTTAAAATTCGATATTCCGATACATCGGCCGATATTTTTTTTTTTTTATTAAATATTGTTGGATTTCACACACGTGTAAAAAAAAAACCTAACTTTTCTGCACAAGATACATTTGATACTTTTTCTCTATGTCTAAATGTTCACTCAGTATAACTTACATTTTACAATGCAGGGACTGTAACTAGAGATATGCGAGTTATAAATACAGTAATCATTACTTTATTTAGCCAGAAAAACTTCATTGTGGTTCCCAAACTCATTAATGTTAACGTTAGCGGTCTTCCACTGATGATAGTGGCATTAGCTAGCTTTATGGTTAGCTAGTCTATGATGAGCCATAATTTAGCAATAGATAACATCATACTGCAAATTGTAAAACATACATTTTCAAGGAGAGATGATTGAAGCATGTTTCATCCGTTTTTATTTTTATTTTTTAAATATTCATTTATCGGCCATTATAACTGCCGATACCGATATTTTGGAAAATGCCTAATATCGGCCGACCGATATATCGGTCTGGCTCTACTCTAAACTTAAATGTCCAGTATAAAAAAATCGTGTATACATATGTTTTAAAAATGAATCATATTGATATAATTCTTTAATTATGGTGAATCATATTCTACTATAATTGAATGTAATATGATATATTTGAAGAGGGCATTGTGTGTGTGTGTGTGTGTGGTCAGGGCGAGCGTCTGAGCCATGCGGTGGGCTGTGCGTTTGCCGCGTGTCTGGAGCGGAAACAGAAGCGGGAGAAAGAGTGCGGGGTCACGGCCACCTTCGATGCCAACCGCACCACCTTCACACGGGAGGGCTCGTTCCGCGTCACCACCGCCACCGAGCAGGCGGAGCGAGAGGAGGTCATGCGGCAGCTGCAGGACGCCAAGAAAGGTGCGTTTCAGACCTCGTCACGGCGAGGTATACGCTACCGTTTAAAACATGTTTCTTCTGCTCACCAACGGTATTTGATCAAAATTACAGTATTATTGCGATTTAAAATAACTGTTTTCTATGTGAATAAACTTTAAAATGTAAGTTAATCCTGGGATCAAAGCTGATTTTTCAGTGTCACATGATACTTCATAAATCATGATGCTAAAGAAACATTTCTGATTATTATCAATGTTGATTTTTGTGGAAACTGATCTTTTTTTTTTCAGGACCGATTTATTTGATTTTTAAATGTCTTATTGTCACTGTGATCAGTTTAATGAATAGGTTTATACATCTAATGGGTCTTTATAATGAGCGGTATAGGAAGGATGAGTTACCATATTCGAGGATCTTTGAAACGCTCTGCATTAGATAACTAAATATCAAAGCAAGTGCGCTCAGATTTACATTTTCTTTTCTGGACTATTTTTGGACTATGACTTACCTAGCTGGTGTCACATTCAGATTTGTAGTGGATCAGTAATAACATCCATTTGTATGATCAGTTATACACTATAAAACGTTTGGGTAATTTTTTTGGTTTGGTTAATGTTTTTATTTAGCAATGACACATTCAATTGATTGTAACGGTAAATGATTTTGGTAACGTCATTGATAATGTCACAAATAAATGTATTCTATAATAATCATGTGACACTGAAGAATGGAGTAATGATGCTGAAAATTCAGCTTTGATCACAGGAAAAAAAAGTATATTTTACAATGAATACAATCCAATTCAAATGTATTTGTATAGCGCTTTCCACAATACATATTGTTTCAAAGCAGCTTTACAGAAAGTGCATTTCAGAAAAATACAGTTAGTTAATCATGTATTAATTTAGGGCATAACATATCGCCGGCGTCGAGTCGTCTCAATCGTAGGTGTTGGGGCATCTGAAGTCTCTGTGAGAGGCTGGATACAAACTGGAGCTGACAAACGCCATTTACTTCAGAATTAGCGTCCCGAGATAACAGCTGGAAACCAGACGTGAAATAATTAGCATAGCTGCTGTAATATGAATGCATTCGATCTGATTCAACAGTGGTATAAAAGGTAAGCATTATGTGAATGCTTGGCTAAAGAAATGCATCTTTAAAGGGATAGTTCACATTGAAATACATTTTTTGATATGTTTTAGCTTACCTCAAGGGCATCCAAGATGTAGGTGTCTTTGTTTCCTCAGTAGTTTCAATTTTGATATTTTTAGGTCAAACCGTTCTTGTCTGTCAGTCATATAATGCAGGTCTCTGGTCACCACGCCCACGCCCTCAGTTAACTTTGACGTGGCTGTGGTTACAAGAGGTAAAAACGATATAAATACTGTTCGTTTTCTCACACAAACTGCTCGTTTCGTGTCTTAGGCCATCAGTGTGTACTTACATTTACGAGTCATTAAATCATGTTTAATCTGGACTTCTCTATGCATGCTCTTTGAGGTGGTGACCATAGACCTCCATTATATGACTGACAAAAACAAATGCACCCATGGTGACATCTTTCAGAAAGATTAAACAAATCATTCTGACCCCAAACTTTTGAGTGGTAGTGTAGTGGTGTCATTGGCAACCTTTCGTCTCTCCTCAGACTCTGAGTGTGTGTTGAGCATCTCCTCTGTGGGCGTATCAAACCCTGCGGTCTCCCTGGCGGGACCCAACGACTCGTCGTCCTCGCCGCCTCTGTCCATGAACACACTGGCCCCTCAGGACGTCAATCCTCACGCCATCCCCCGACGCCACGCGCCCGTGGAGGCTCTCGCTCGCCAGGGCTCGTTCCGCGGCTTCCCAGCGCTCAGCCAGAAGACCTCTCCCTTCAAACGCCAGATGTCCCTGCGCATGAACGAGCTGCCGTCCACCATGCAGCGCAAGTCGGACTTCCCCAGCAAGAACACTGGTGAGGCTCTTCAACTTCTCTGATCGTCAAAACATGCTTTATTGGACTGTCCTGGGAAGTTATTTCACTTAAAGGAGCAGTTCACTTTTAAAAACGCTTTTGCTGATAATTTACTCACCCCCATGTCATCGAAGATGTCCACGTCTTTCTTTCTTCAGTTGAAAAGAAATTAAGGTTTTTGATGAAAACATTCCAGGATTTTCTCCATATAATGGACTTCAATGGGGTCCAAACGGTTCAAGGTCCAAATGAGAGTTTCAGTGCAGCTTTAAAGTGCTTTAAACGACACCAGATGATGAATAAGGGTCTTATCTAGGACCCTTCAAGTCATGACTCGAAAAAAGATTTGTTCATCAGTTCGAACAGGAGAGTCACGGACGTGCATCACAGAACAGAGCAAGGCGAGCATTTGCGCTTTTAAAACTTCAACTTTTTTATTTATTTTTGAAATGACCGATTGTTTCGCTAGATAAGACCCTTATTCATCGTCTGGTGTCGTTTAAAGCCCTTTGAAGCTGCAGTGAAACTCTCATTTGGACCTTGAACCGTTTAATCCTGGAATGTTTTCATCAAAAACCTTAATTTCTTTTCGACTGAAGAAAGAATGACATGGATATATTAGATGACATGGGGGTGAGTAAATTATCAGCAAAAGTTTTTTTTTTTTTTTTTTTTAAAGTGAACTACTCCTTTAAGGACTGGTTTAAAGACCAGTCTTAATATATTTAAAAATATATATTATAATATGACTACTTGTGTTTGATTGTATTTACATGATATTTGTAATTTTGAATTGAATATTTGCAATGTATCGATCTCTGATCATCATCTTTCCAGATCTGAAAATGTAATCGATAGGTTTTCTATATGCTGTATATACAGTAGAACACATTTGAAGTGGATCAAAACCGTTCATCAACGTTATACATGAATTTTGAACAATAGCTGTTCTTGTATTAGGACAACTTTGATGAACTTTTTTGATCCACTTCAAATGTTGACTACTGTATTTCGTAGAGCTGGGCTTTTACTTTCACATGCTTGCAATTCAATTCAATATCGATTAATTTGGATATACAGTATCAGGTACAGTACGTATTTTTTTCTCAAGAAAAAAAATTCTCAACTAATGGTGTAAACTATAAAGGGAACAGTCGGTACATTTAATATTAACAACTGATTTGGATACAAATATTTAAATTGCAGTTTCTATATTATATATCTTAATTTAAAAAAAATTAATGACAGTTATGTTTCTACTCCAGTTTGTTTTGTTTTTAAATATAAACATTTAAACAATGGCTGTCACAGATTTATTTGAACCTAAATTCATTATTGAAGACCAAGTTAAAGCTACAATATGCAATATTTCCCGCGCTAAGGGTCGCTAACCTCTTACAATAACAAAGGTTTAGGTTGATGACGCAAAGCATTAAGCGGAATTATGGATCAAGCCGTCAAGCTGATGGATCTAATAATGTTTATGAATTAGTGAATACAGATCATATTGTTGAGCTATACAGATCATAATCTGACATTTCATCATGTTAAGCTACATAACATTGATTAGTTTTATGTACATTTGCTCACCTGTCTAAAAAAGTACATGCAACACTTTTAACAGAGACGCCACTTGATATCGGTTCATCGATTTAAATTTGACAAATCAATATTTTCTACCCAGCCCTACAATATAGTACGTCCGTCTCTTTTGTCTCCTTCTCTCATTGTTCCTAAAGCCTTAACAGAAGGCAGTGAGTTGGTTTGAGGATATGTAGTCAGTGATTGTTGTGCTGTGTTTGTCAGTGCCGGAGGTGGAGGGAGAGGGCGACAGCATCAGCTCTCTGTGCACTCAGATCACATCCACCTTCAGTGGGCCTCCAGAGGACCCGTTCTCCTCGGCACCGATGCCCAAACACACCTCCTCACCACAGTCGCCCGCTGCTCCAGGTCAGCTTAACTCTCACACTCTCACCACTTTACAGAGGGGGGTGGGGTCTGTGTGTGTCTGTGTATGTGTGTGTTACGGATTTGCAATTTTTACAATTAAACTAGTCAGCTGGTCAGAGTTTACCTTATGCAAATGACCTGTGCTGCATCTGTATCTGCCGGTTTAAAAAGAATGGATTAAAGGATATCCACCTAAAGGATTATTAGGAAAACCTGTTCAATTTCTCATTAATGCAATTATCTAATCAACCAATCACATGGTAGTTGCTTAAATGCATTTAGGGGTGTGGTCCTGGTCAAGACAATCTCCTGAACTCCAAACTGAATGTCAGAATGGGAAAGAAAGGTGATTTAAGTAATTTTGAGCGTGGCATGGTTGTTGGTGCCAGACGGGCCGGTCTGAGTATTTCACAATCTGCTCAGTTACTGGGATTTTCACACTCAACCATTTCTAGGGTTTACAAAGAATGGTGTGACAAGGGAAAAACATCCAGTATGCGGCAGTCCTGTGGGCGAAAATGCCTTGTTGATGCTAGAGGTCAGAGGAGAATGGGCCGACAGATTCAAGCTGATAGAAGAGCAACTTTGACTGAAATAACCACTCGTTACAACCGAGGTATGCAGCAAAGCATTTGTGAAGCCACAACACACACAACCTTGAGGCGGATGGGCTACAACAGCAGAAGACCCCACCGGGTACCACTCATCTCCACTAAAAAATAGGAAAAAGAGGCTACAGTTTGCAAGAGTCACCAAAATTGGACAGTTGAAGACTGGAAAAATGTTGCCTGGTCTGATGAGTCTCGATTTCTGTTGAGACATTCAGATGGTAGAGTCAGAATTTGGCGTAAACAAAATGAGAACATGCATCCATCATGCCTTGTTACCACTGTGCAGGCTGGTGGTGGTGGTGTAATGGTGTAATGGGGGATGTTTTCTTGGCACACTTTAGGCCCCTTAGTGCAAATTGGGCATCGTTTAAATGCCACGGCCTACCTGAGCATTGTTTCTGACCATGTCCATCCCTTTATGGTCACCATGTCCCCATCCTCTGATGGCTACTTCCAGCAGGATAATGCACCATGTCACAAAGCTCCAATCATTTCAAATTGGTTTCTTGAACATGACAATGAGTTCAATGCCATGTAAAATTAAGGCAGTTCTGAAGGTGAAAGGGGGTCAAACACAGTATTAGTATGGTGTTCCTATTAATCCTTTAGGTGAGTGTGTGTGTGTGTATACAGTGGTGTGAATAAGTGTTTGCGTGTTTGCCCCCATACTAAAGTTGCCTAAAAAGAGGAATAAAAAATCATCTTTTGGATATTGATCTTAATGCCTTAATTAGAAAAATGAGGAAAACTCCAACCTTTAAGGACATACATTTTCTTTGTGAATGAATAATCTATCATAAATAAATAAATGTGTTTCCTTAAAATACAGGGTGCATAAGTCAGGACACCCCTATGTTAAATTCCCATAAAAAAGCCAGTTATTTCATGGATCCAGGATAATATGCATCCTGATAAAGTTCCCTTGGCCTTTGGAGTTAAAATAGACCCACATCATCACACACCTTCCACCACACCTAGAGATTGGCATGGGGTACTTTCCATAAGATCATCTTTCAATGCAAATCAGACCAGCTATTAGGCTAACTGAAGTAAAACCATGCCAATCTCTAGGTGTGGTGGAAGGTGTGTGATGATGTGGGGATATTTTAATTCCAAAGGCCAAGGGAACTTTATCAGGATGAATATTATCCTGGATCCATGAAATAACTGGCTTTTAAAAATATAAATCTGCCTGACTCTATGGGAATTTAACATAGGGGTGTCCTGACTTATGCAGCCTGTATTTTAAGGAAAAACATTTATTTATTTATGATACAATATTCATTCACGAAGAAAATTTGTGTCCTTAAAGGTTGGAGTTTTCCTCATTTTTCTAATTAAGGCATTAAGATCAATATCCAAAAGTTGATTTTTTGTTCCTCTTTTTAGGCAACTTTAGCATGGGTGTCCAAACTTATTCACATCACTGTATGTATATATATATATATATATATATATATATATATATATATTATGTATACATTTGTTTTAAACTGTAATTATTATATATATATATATATATATATATATATATATATACTGCATGAACACATACGTTTTTGATATATAATTACAGTTTAAAACAATGTTTTTCTTTTTAAATACATGTATAAATGTAATTTATTCCTGTGATGCAAAGCTGAATTTCCAGCATCATGAGTGAGTGAGTGAGTGAGTGACATGTCTGTGGATTAATTCATCGACAACTAGCTAGTAAATTAGTCAACTAATAAAAAGCCATTAGCCATTACTAATAAAAGCTTATGTTGTGCAGTTTGAGCAAAGAGAAATTTTTGCACCATATATACAATCAATGCTAATCAATACAGGTGACCCAACACATTCTCTAGTGGCAGAACTAATCATCTAGTCTTTTCAATCCCTAATACATGTGTTTTGTGTGTGTGTGTGTGTGTGTGCATGCTACTCTTGCTTGTGTCCGGCTCTGTCTCTAATCTACTCGTCGTGTCACTCCTGTCTGCTGCTGTAGTCAACGGAGCAGTTCCTGCTTTCCCGCCGCCTAGCGTCACAGTCTCCGCTGCCGCTAACTCTCCCGTGCTGCCGCCCCCGCTGCCTGTGCGAGAGACTAACCCCTGGGCCAAGACCCCAAACACAGCCCACACAGCACATATAGGTAAGACACCTGGGCTCCCTGTGCTGCTGACCATGCAGGATAGGTGCTGAGAAACTCACTTTACTGTGTAATGCAAGGCAGTACTGTGAGCTGCTGTTGCATACTTTAATCTCAAAATTGCATGAGATGAAATGTGTGAATTCATCTAAAATCACAAAAATGTATCATTTCAGCTGCTAACTGTACTTGCAACTTGCTTAGTTATTGTCACAGTCTGATATTTATGTAAAAAATATAGTTAAATTTGTATTTTTTTGGTAATGTTTCCTGTACTTATAATGTTTAATTATAATGTCTATTAATCAGATGGACAATTCAACATTTACCTGATCTTTAGCTACTAGTTTCTAAAAAAAATCACATTTTAATTTGTCAATTAGATGGACAATTAAGAATCAAAACACTAAGTATGTGAAATGAGTGCGTGTTCTTCTCTAGTAAATTACAATTCAAGAACAGCAATGTAAAGTGAGGCATTTAAGAT